AATAGTCAGGCAAGCTGCAAAGAATGCTTGGCTGCGACTAACCTCGCTTCGTGCCAAGAGAGTGGCATCCGTTCGGCCCTCTGCACAGAGATCCTGGAATCAGAGTGGTACCGGGTCCCCTGCTGGCTTGGGCTTGCCAGGGCTTCCTGCTTCCCTGCATTCTCCAGGCTGGCTACTCCAACCAGTAGCCTCTGGTGCCCGCGAGTATCCCAGGGCCATGCTTCTCTTGGTAGTTTTATGCGGTGAAACGTTCGGATGAACTCTTAGGGAAGTGCAGAGCTGTGACCTTGTAAAATGGGACCATGAGCACCTGTCAAGGCTTCTTGTAATTTGAGTCTTTTTTGACACTCTTCTTGGGATCTGTAAAACTAGTCTACACTGATGACATTTCCTTTAAAGAAGATAATCTAGCCTAGTATAAGAAGGCACAAAGCAAACTTCCTTTTGGCTTAATGTCAGGGAACAATGTTTACTTGTGGTTTCAACAGGAGTGGTGGAGAAGGAGACGCTAACTGACCTTACATCCTTTGCCCTCAGCCAGAAATTTCCACGTATGCAGTCATGCAAGGTGAGGCTCCGCAGGCAGTTGTCATGGGAAGAGACTGACATTGTGAAGAGTGTGATGCCATGTTTTGGAAAATAGTGGGTCCTGGTAGTGTCTGGAAGATCATTGTTCCCCAGGAATGGGCAGGTAGAGGCAGTGCACAGTGCCATGGTGCAGTCGTGCAGCCCTGGGGAGAATTGCATCTGCAGGCTCTGTGTGTGCATGGCCCCACATGCTGCTGGGGCCAGAGGTGGTGCTGTAAGTTAGGCAGGTGTGGAGGAGAAGAGCAGCCAACACATCTGTCTCACAGTGGGAGCCTGAACAGAGGGGCGGGGCTTCAACCAGAATCGCTGGGAAAGTATATTTGCTTAGTAAACTGCTCCTTTATTTTTAAATAAACCCCTGCTTATCCTGAGCACAAAAGAAGCTTCCAGTGTTATATTATAATGACAAGTTTGCATTTGGTATCAGCGTTTTTTGCTTGTGAGACATTTGAAAAGTTCATCTTAAGGGTAGCTCCCTGCCATGCGTGCTGTGGTAGCAAGTGGGCGTGCTGTCTGGAAATGTGTGGTCAGAAGGTGACTCCTCAACAATTTCTGTGATTTAGTGCAGAGGGTGACCTTCAGGGGTTAGTCCTAAAGTGCTTTTAGAGAGAGGGGAAAGGAGAGAGAGAGAAAAACATCAATGTGAGAGAGAACACCAATTCGTTGGCTTCTGTACATGCCCAAACTGGGTGAGGGGGCATTGGGGGGGAGGGGGTTAAATCTGCAAACTTTCGGTGTAAGGGACAATGTTTCAACCAACTGAGCCACACTGGCTAGGGCTTCAGTGACATTTTAACACACCTGTTTACTTTAAAAGTAGCACATACCTATTTTAGAGAAGTTGGAAAATAACAAAGTTACAGAGAAATGTCTACCATCCCATAGCCTCGAGATAAATATCTAGTGGTAATATTTTACAGTACTTTTACACACACACACACACACACACACACACACACAATTATAGATTTGTGTATAATTTCGTAGCCTGCTCTAAGAATTTGTTTAAAAAATTTAAAGCATATTTTGAGACAGATATTTAGAGAGAAAAACAGTATCATGAACTCCTACACTCACATCACCTTGATTAAATAATTACCAAACATTTTCGAGTTTTGCTTTATTCCTTTTTCTTTTTTGGTGCTGTAGTATTTTAAGACGTACCTCCAACATCATGGTATTTTACCCTCATAGAGTTCAGCAGCATCACTGCTCACAAAGTCCCTTTTAAACCTAATGAAATTCACAATAACCCCCAGAAACTAAAAGTAGTTCAAATAGAGATTTCCTCCATTAGTCTGTTTAATGGGCTCAAAAATGGGCTTAACATTTTAGGGGAAATGGTTAACCTGTAAAATCCTAGTTTCAGCTGTGATTAAGAATAAAGGCGTAAAGTATCTGTTCTGACGCACCTGGATTCTTTCCTGGCAGAGTTGCCTGCCTTCCCCACCCGTGTGCCGCTGGAGTGTCAGTCTCCACCTTCGCACCTGGCGTCCTCCAGGTCAGGCAGGTACCCACGTCAAGGTGTATGAGAGGAGCTCATCCAAGCTGGATGTTACCCAGGAAGTGGTAGAGCTGTGGCACGTCACTGTGAACCCTCCCATTTCCTGTAAATGCTGCCAATTTTAAGTTCTCAATGTACTAGTATATGAAAAATACATATAAAAAACCAGCTGATGTGGCTTGGTGGTTGAGTATGACCCTATGAAACACGAGTTCATTGTTTGATTCCCAATCCAACACATGCCTGAGTTGCGGGCTTGATCCTCAGTGGGGAGCGTGTAGGAATTAGCCAATGAATGATTCTCATCACTGATGTTTCTATCTCTTTCCCTCTCTCTCTCTGAAATCAATAAAAATATATTTTAAAAACTGCATAAAACACAAAGTTAGGTGGACCCACATTACCTAAGGATCCTATATAATAAAAGGGTAATATGCAGATTGACTCTAACAGTGGAACAACCAGGTCGCTATGGCATGCACTGACCACCAGGGGGCAGATGCTCAACAGAGGAGCTGCCTTTTGATGGTCAGTGTGCTTCCATGGGAAGTGTCACTCAGCCAGAAGCCGGCTCATGGCTTGCCAGTGCAGCGGTGATGGGAGCCTCTCCTGCCTCTGCAGCAGCACTAAGGATGTCCTACTAATGGCAGGGAGCGGCCCACACCTGTAGGTCAGACATCCCTCCGGGGCTCCCAGGCTGCCAGAGTGATGTCTGACTGCCAGCTTAGGCCTGACCCGCGCCCGCCTAAGCTGGCAGGTGGACATCCCCCGAGGATCCCAGACTTTGAGAGGGTGCAGGCCGGGCTGAGGGACAAATTTTCATGCACTGAGCCTCTAGTATGGAAATAAACAATAGAGTTTCTGAGAAATGTGTGGGTTTTTTTAATCCTTACCTGAAGATAGGATATTTTTTCATTGATTTTTTTTTTTTTTTGAAAGAGTAGAGGGGAGACGGGAGGGAGACAGAGATAGAGAGAGAGAGAAGAAAACCACATCAATGTCAAAGAGACACATGGATTGGTTGCCTCCCGCACATTAAGCTTGCAGCTGAGGTACATGCCCTTAACCGCTGACAATAACCAATGAGCAACCAGGGCAGTTTCTGAGAACTTTAATGAAAGTATGAAATTCAGGGAAGAAGGAAAGCCACCCCTCACAGCTTTCTCTCATCTGACACTTCCCAGCTCTTTCCATCACCCACTCTGCCTCTTCTCCCCAGTCACTGCTTGGTGCTGAGGTGTCACCTTACCGTGATGATGGGGTGGCTCTGAGACATGGTAGGCAGAGAGGTTTGGGTGATGTAAAAATCCAAGCTGAGAGCCTCTGTGGTATAATAACAGTTTTGTTTGTATTTGGATCTTAAATCAATCTTGAATTTACTTTTATTTGAATAATAGTTTTTATTCAAGTATTATGGTTGGTTATTACTAGAGGCCCAGTGTCTGAATTCATTTATCAGTGGGGTCCCTCAGCCTGACCTGCAGGATCAGGCTGAAACAGGTTCTCTGACATCCCATGAGGGGTCCCGGATTGTGAGAGGGTGCAGTCCAGGTCGAGGGACCCCACCAGTGCACGATCAGTGTGATCAGGGCCAGGGAGGGACATGGGAGGTTGGCCAGCCAGGGAGGGACCATGGGAGGGCTCCAGGGAGTGTCTGGTCCTTCTTGCTCAGACCCTATCTGCTGGATACCAGCAGAAAGCTAACCTACTGGTCAGAGCGTCTGCCCCTGGTGGTCATTGCACATCATGTCAACTGTCTGCCCCATGGTGGTCAGTGCACATCATAGCAAGTGATTGAGCGGCCTTAGAATATCATTAGCATATTACACTTTGATTAGTTGAATGGATGGCCAGACACTTAGCATATTAGGCTTTAATATATGGGATTGCTGAACAATCATCTAGTGAAAATGGACAAGCTTTGAACAGCAGAAATAAATCAGCAGCAAAAAGACTCAGTTTCACATTCTGCTGCTGTGGATGGGACATTAAAAAGGCAGTTTAATCCATTTTATTGAAGTATAAGTTATACACTAACATAATAGTCTTAGGAGTTTTAACAAATTAATACACCCATGTAACTGCCACCTCTGTCCAAAGATAGAACACGCCTATCACCCAGCCTCCAGTCTTTCGCTGCCGGCACGCCCTGAGCTCATCCAGTCGGTGGGTTTCAGGCCCGGGCCCTGACTTCAGAGCCTGGCTTCTAACCGCTGCGCTGCACACGCTTTCCTAACAGGCTGCTTTCCTGTACATGTACGGCGTGGTAGCTTGCCTAGGACATTAGCATGCTCATTGGTGAACTAATTACTTGATGCTGATTTATTGGTTTATTTATTTATACGCTGGAGGTCATTGAAGAGTGTCACCATTGACCCTGGAGCCTAGACCTCTCCCGCCCTATCCTCTTTTCCCCGTGCTGAGCAGTCAGTACTTGGAAAACATCGTAACATCCCTGGTTGTCACCTTCCAGTGATCAGACCATTGATTCATTAAAGTGTATTCGTGTTTGGTCTTTGGTTGGGTGTCCGTATAAATTAATTTTTTAAATATATTTTATTGCTTTTCTAGAGAGGAAGGGAGAGGAATAGAGAGTTAGAAACATCATTGAGAGAGAAACATCGATCAACTGCCTCCTGTACATCTACTGGGGATGTGCCCGCAATCAAGGCACATGCCTGTGACCGGAATCGAACCTGGGACCCTTCAGTCCGTAGGCCGATGCTCTATCCACTGAGCCAAACCAGTTCGGGCTGTATAAATTAACTTTTAATAATAAAATGTTGTTATAACACGAGAGTCGCCATGATTAGTGTGGAGTCCTCGGTTATGCAGAGAGTGACCTCAGGGGTTGGCCGTAAAGTGCTGATGTTTAGAGGTTTCCTGACACCAGCGTTTTCTCTCCTAGGACTTCTCCACATTTCTCAGAACAGAGTGGCAGTTCTTCTCCTAGCTGGTGGGCAGGGGACGCGGCTCGGGGTCACATACCCCAAGGGGATGTATGATGTTGGCTTGCCATCCCATAAGACCCTTTTCCAGCTTCAAGCAGAGCGAATCCTGAAGCTTCAGCAGCTAGCTGAGAAGTGCCATGGCAACAGATGCACCATCCCCTGGTAAGAGGCTCATTGTGGGCCCCAACGTGTGCTGGTTTAAGGTACTCAGAATGCGTGAGAGCTGTATTCCTAAGAAGACATTGTGTTTCTGCTGGTTTTACCGGGGGCTGTCGTCACCACGTGTGTAAGGGGAACACGAGTGCAGCAGGAAGGTGTGTGCTGCAGCTTGAAGGAGCAGTGCGCTCCCCCAGCTTCTGCATCCTCACCGGGGGCTCTTGGGTGCAGGGGTTCTCGGGGATTTCCTCCTCATTGGTTGTTCGGGTGTAGAACGTCTGAACATTTGAATCTTGGGAATTCGGAGTTTTCCTCTCTTAGAGCACTTAGGGTCTCTCCTTATCTTCAATATCTGAAGTTTCTTGACATGGTGTGGCTCTATTTCCAGTGGGTTCTCTTAGCCTAGGAACTCGTGTTCTCAAGTACTAGGTTATCTGGCCTTTCTGAACACCCCCCCTCCCACACCTTCACACACACACACACACACACACACACACACACACACCCCACCGCACTGAAAGCTCCACTGACTGCTCTGCTGTGGGCCCTCTCGGGGCTGGGCTCCTTGAGCACCACCATGTGGAGCATCTGCTTGGCTCGTTAGGAGGTGCTGATGTAGCTCCTCCGTCTTTCTCCTCAGCTTTGGGATTAGCGTGTCTTGTGGGGTGATCCGCGGTGGGTGTGTTTCCTCAGCCCCTAACCCTGTAACAGCCCCACGTGGCCAGCAAAGGCTCTGCTGGCTTCTGCCCTTCTGCCTGGCCGTGGCTGCCCCGGAGGAGGCCCCTGGAAGACCCTCCAGTCCTGCGGTTGAGTCTGGCCAGAGTTGCTTCCCACCAGCTCCGTGATCCTCCCAGACCCCCCAGATCTCCCCACACAGCTGCCGCTTCCTGCAGGTCCCTGTGGGGACTTTGGAGGGACATTGTGTGCTAAGCCCAGGCCCTGCGGTCATGTTGGCTTCCTCCGCTCTGCACAGCTGAAGTTGTGTTTCTCTTTGTCACCTTCTAGATCACACCCAAGCCCTTGTGCCCGAGTTCACAATGTTAAAGAGACAGATCCCTACTCAGCAGGTGTCACTTAGTTGAGTGTGTCCTCTAGGTGCTGGTTTCAGATTTTCCTCCTCTGCCACCCGGGCTGGGGGTTCCTGTGGCAACACAGTGTATACCTGTACTTCCCTGTGATATCACATGAAGGCGACTGAGTCCACAGATGTCAGAACTTTAGCAGGAAGCCACTATAGGTCACTGGAATGTATCATAGTTACCCCTTTCTACTCAGTTAAAATATGAGTTTGTTAACGTAAAAACATTAAAACCTGTAAAGAGTTTTTGTGAGTTTATTTGAGCCAAACTGTCAATTGCCGGGAAGCAGAACCTCACAGATTGGGATAGTGCTCCAGAAAATGGTGGCTTTTTATCTATTTTCATACACTAAAATCAATGAAATCCTTTGGTGATAGACTAGGGAGGCGGGAGAAAGCAAAACGGCGGGGGGGGGGGGGGGGGAGGGAGGGGGCGCGCGGAGTGGGGGCGGCAGCTTCTTCCCTGAACTTGTCAGGTTAGCATGTGGCCCCCTTTGTCCACAGGTTTGTTCTTATTTATTTATTTTTAAAATATATTGATTTTTTTACAGAGAGGAAGGGAGAGGGATAGAGAGTTAGAAATATCAATGAGAGAGAAACATCGATCATCTGCCTCCTGCACGCCCCCCGCAACCCGTGCCCTTGACCAGAATCGAACCTGGGACCCTTCAGTCCGCAGACTGGCGCTCTATCCACTGAGCCAAACCGGTTTCTGCTGTCTGCAGGTTTTTAATTTAAAAGGCACTTTTCACAGTCCCCAGCTCTTTCCTTGAGCTGGCTGCAGGCTCTGTTGCCGGCGGTGTGGAGAGGCATGCTCTACCTGAGGGTGGGGAGGTGGTGGCCGAGGCTCCCCTGCGGAAAGCCACGTGTTCTCAAGATTTCCATCGACCCAGGGCTTGGGCAAGGCTTTCCGGGCCCTAAGCCGATGGCGCGGTCTCAGAAGACACTCCCTGCTGCAGGTACATAATGACCAGCGGCAGGACGATGCGGTCCACAGAGGAGTTCTTCGCCAAGCACAGGTACTTCGGGCTGCAGAAGGAGAATGTCGTCTTCTTCCAGCAGGGCATGCTGCCAGCCATGAGCTTTGACGGCAAGATTCTTTTGGAGGAGAAGAGCAAGGTGTCCATGGCTCCAGGTCTGTGCCCTTCTTGTGAGTGGTGACGAGGAATGGTAGTGGCATAAGTGATTGAGTTTTAGCTTCCTTGTACATATGACGATACTTTTTGGGAGGTCTGTCCTGGAGAGAGCCTGCATGCACTCAGAGCGCAGGTCCCGCTGCAGCAGCGCCCTCCACCGGGGCTTATCCCAGAGAAAAATTGTGAGCCCCCCAGTTTAAGAAGTCAGAGGCTGAGTTAGGGTTTGTCTGTACTGTTGCTTCTTAAAGAGCATTGAAATGAGTGTTAGGAGACATTAAATGGCCGGGAGGAACGGCCTCGGTAGGTGAAACCGGAGAACGAGAAACATAACTGCACACACAGTGCCCTGGGAGCCTCCGCCTCGCACAGGCCCAGGCTGTGTGCACAGGGCACTCGCAGCGGCCGCCAGAGCCAGGGCCTGTGTGACTCTGGTAGCTGGAGGCCAGGCTGCAGGTTCCTGTCTGACCTGCGGGGGGAGGGGAGGCTGAAAGGAGACAGCAGTGTCCACAGGGTGCTTTTGGCTTCTTTTTTTCTTCCTAATTCTTTGCAGTCAGGGAAGGACGCTGTTCTGAGCCCCGGTGCTGTAATTCCGCATCATGAGTCCGTTGAGGCGGAGGGTGCTGACAGGACACGGGGCGGCAGGGGGCAGAGGGCGGGGCTTTCCTAGCACTGAGCTTAGGTCACCACCGACCTTCATGTGAGTCTGGCTTTAAACCAGTGACTTGACATGAAGTTTCATGTGATTTTCTCTCCAACATGGATGACGTCAGGCTGCACATGCAGAGTCAGCGCCAATTGTACAGACAGTAGTAACACGCGGAAGCTGTGGGTCATCATGTGTGGTGGATGATTTTGTATTTCCCCGTGTGTTCCGGCTAGATTATTACGGGCAGCTATGGAAAGCGTGGCCTTTGGGGCTGCCTTGTTCGTGCACTGTGACCACTCTTGACTGTCCTGGGTCCACACTAAGCAGCCCACTAACCTTCAGATGGGTCTGCCGTGCTCTAAGGGCTCTCTCATTTCCCAGACGGGAACGGGGGCCTCTACCGGGCTCTGGCTGCCTGGGACATCGTGGGCGACATGGAGCGCAGGGGCGTCGGCTGTGTTCACGTCTACTGCGTTGACAACATCCTGGTGAGAGTGGCCGACCCTCGGTTCATTGGATTCTGCGTTCAGCAGGGAGCGGACTGCTGCGCCAAGGAAAGGCCCTTCTCCACAGCGAAGCCCCAGGGCTCCCTGCCAGCTCCGCACGCAGGAGTCCGACCAGAGTTACTGGGTGACTGGAATGTTGTAGAACCGTTCCTCTCTCCAGGGCACTTCTTTTCTTAACGTGGTAGCGTGTGGTCCAGAAGCCAGGTCCATCAGAAGTGAGTGTTTGGCCGAAACCGGTTTGGCTCAGTGGTAGAGCGTCCGTCTGCGGACTGAAGGGTCCCAGGTTCGATTCCAGTCAAGGGCATGTACCTTGGTTGTGGGCATATCCCCGGTAGGGGGTGTGCAAGAGGCAGCTGGTCGATGTTTCTCTCTCATCGACGTTTCTAGCTCGCGCGCTCTCTCTCTCTCTCTCTCTCTCTCTCTCTCTCTCTTCCTTTCTGTAAAAAAATCAACAAAATATATTTAAAGAAAAAAAAGAAGTGAGTGTTTGCAGTCAATACTTGGGAGGGTGGGCCTCCCCGGGCCCAAGCATCCACGGGCCTCTGAGCCGCTGTGGGCAGAGGCACAGACAGCGATGTTGGACGTGGGTGAGGCACTCCTAGTAGTCTCTGGAATAAGACGTGGTGTGCAGAGAAGGGTGTGGACAGTGGGATTAGTGATGGCTCCGCTGGCCACACACATGCAGGGACTGAGTGGGAGAAAGGGTCACAGCCTTTAGTTGGGGGCGGTGCCATGGGAGCCATGCCTTCAGGGAGGCAAACAGGCCCTGCAGCGGATCTTGGAATCGGATGGACATGTTGGAAGGTTTAAAAATATGGATATAAATATTACTTCTTCTATAAAGATATCAGCTCTCACAGATTAAAGTATCACACCATCCTGATCAAAGTTCCAGTGACTCTCATTCTGGGCCCAAACAGTGCTGAAGTTTAGAATAAACATGGAAAGGCAGCCGGGAAATATTGAAGAAGGATGGAGAGGAGGAGGGGAGAGGTTTGGAGACAGACTGTCAGACTCTCAGGTGGCACACGAGGTGAAGAAGGCGGCAGATTGACGGCCAGATGCCCCCGGTGCACGGAGGAGTTGTGTGCGACTCCCATCTTGGTGGGGGGTGAATGAGGTTGCTGGCTGAGAGTAAAGGAAGGTCTCTCCCTCAGTTCATACCACAATCGATTTCAAATGTATTCCAAAGTCAAATATTAAAAACTCCATAGCCAAAACCGGTTTGGCTCAGTGGATAGAGCGTTGGCCTGGGGACTGAAAGGTCCCAGGTTCGATTCTGGTCTAGGGCATGTACATTGGTTGCCGGCACATCCCCAGTGGGGAGTGTGCAGGAGGCAGCTGATCAATGATTCTCTCTCACTGATGTTTCTAACTCTCTATCCCTTTCTCTTCCTCTCTATTAAAAATCAATAAAATATATTTAAGACAAAACAAAACAAAAAAAAACAACTCCATAAATATGTTAGAAAAAAAGGTAGAATAATTTTATTTAAATTCTTTATTATTTAAGCATTACATAAGTCTCCTTTTCTTCCATTGGCCTCTCGCCAGCTTCCCCCACCCCCCAGCACAGGCCCTTCCTCCTACCTCTTCCCCCTCATGTATGTCCATTGGTTATGCTCATATGCATGCAGGCAAGTCCTTTGGTTGATCTTTTACCTCCCCCACCCCCCCACACTCCCACTCTCACCTGCCTTCCCTCTGAAGATTGACGGCCTATTTGATGCTTCTCTGTCTCTGGCTCTATTTTTGTTCATCACTTTATGTTATTCATTAGATTCCACATATGAGTGAGATCGTGTGATATTTATCTTTCTCCAACTGGCTTATTTTGCTTAATATAATGCTGTCCAGGTCCATCCATGCTGTTGCAAATGATAAGAATTCCTTTTTTATAGCAGTGTAGTATTCCATTGTGTAGATGTACCACAGTTTTCTAATCCACTCATCAGCTGATGGGCACTTAGGCTGTTTTCAAATCTTAGCTATTGTAAATTGTGCTGCTATGAATATAGGAGTAAGAGGGTTCCTTTTTCGTCACATCCTCTCCAGCACTTGCTGTTTGTTGATTTGTTGATTAGAATCTATACTGATAAAAGGGTAACATGCTAATTAGGGCGGACATCTTCTGGACAAAGCCGAGGCTCAGGCAGCCATGGGTGGCTACAAAAGGGCCGAGGCACGGCTGCGAAGGGCCCATGCTCAGGTCAGCAGTGGCAGAGCAGTGGGGTAATGGTGGTGCCTTCCCCTGATCTGCCAGGTTGCCTTCCACAGAGGGAGGCCAGACTGCAGCTTAGGCCAAAGGCTGAATCAGGTTAGGGTCAATCAGGCCAGCAGGGCAAGTTAAGGTCAATCAGGACAGCAGGGAGGCAAGGCAGGTGTGATCAGGCTGGCAGGGGAAAAGGAAGGGGCAATCAGGCTGGCAGGGGGGCAAATTAGGGCTGATCAGGCTGGCAGGCAGAGGCAGTTAGGGACAATTAGGTGGGCAGGCAGAGGGGTTAAGGGCAATCAGGCAGGCAGGCAAGTGGTTAGGAACCAGAGGTCCTGGAATGAGAGGGATATCTGACTGCTGGTGTAGGCATGATCCCACAGGGGATGTCCTAAACTGGCAGTCATACATCCCCCAAGGGGTCCCAGATTGGAGAGGGTGCAGGCTGGGCTGAGAGACCCCTTCCTCCCCATGCATGAACTTTGTGCACTGGGCCTCTAGTAATTTTATAATATTGACATGAAGGGAAGGTCTTTTTGACAAAAACAAATTAGATGGCATAAATTTAAAAAGAAGGCTTGCCACAGACATGCCAGATCCTTGGTTGGAGATTTTCTGTTATAAAGATGTCTTTTCTCTAAAAATCTATCTACAGTGTGAACCTGGAAGGAGTGTCAGCCCATTTGACCTCAGAAATGAGCACCTGAGCTCTAGGCCTCAGTCAGTTCCAGGCTTGAGGGCTCCATCACCCCTTCTTGTTTTAGTATCATGTCACATTATATATGTACTAGTAGCCCTGCACACAATCCGAGCGCCAGTAGCTCACTGCTGTTCGCCAGTAGCTCTCCGCCCGCTGCCCCGCCCTCCTGTAGCTCCCTCCAACCCCCTGTCCCTCCTCCCATAGTTGCTGCCCTGCCGCCTCCTGTGGCTCTCTGCCACCCGCTTGTAGCTTGCTGCCTCACCCTCCTGTATATTACATCTTTATTATATGGGATTTTTAATATACATGTTTTTTTTTTATTGATTTCAGAGAGTAAGGGAGAAGGAGAGAGTGAGAGAAATATCCATGAGGAGAGAGAATCATGGATCGGCTGCGTCTTGCACTTTCCCCACTGGGTATTGAGCCCACAACCCGGCATGTGCCCTGACTGGGAATCAAATCATGACCTCCTGGTTCATAGACCAATTCTCAACCACTGGGCCCTGCCAGCCAGGCTCATGTCACATTATAAAAGCAAACCTTTTACAGTAGTTCCCGTGTGCTGGTAGCTAGGAGCTGTGATTGGTGCCCCGGCTTCAATGAGTGCTGGCCTCACAGTCACTCTTCTCCACGCCCCCAGGTCTGTGTCTGGAACCAAATGGGACTGGGCTGCTGTGTATCCAGTTCCTAGAGGCATCAGAAACCACTTAATAATCTGTCCTCCACCCTTTTCACTGTGGTAAAATCAAGGCATAGTTGTAAAAGCTTCCTGAGTTAGGGAGAGTTACAGTGCAGCAGTAGCATTCTTTGCAATACTTTCTAACCAGGCTCCTGTCTTGTGAGTTAAGCTTTTTAAGGAATGAGAGCCTTAAGAACAGACTATAGCGGTGGTCGGCAAACTCATTAGTCAACAGAGCCAAATATTAACAGTACAACGATTGAAATTTCTTTAGAGAGCCAACTTTTTTAAAAAATACATTTTTTATTGATTTTTTACAGAGAGGAAGGGAGAGGGATAGAGAGTTAGAAACATCGATGAGAGAGAAACATCAATTAGCTGCCTCTTGCACAATCCCTACTGGGGATGTGCCCGCAACCACTGTACATGCCCTTGACCGGAATCGAACCTGGAACCCTTGAGTCCACAGGCTGACGCTCTATCCACTGAGCCAAACCGGTCAGGGCAAGAGCCAAATTTTTTAAACTTAAACTTCTTCTAACGCCACTTCTTCAAAATAGACTCACCCAGGCTGTGGTAATTTTGTGGAAGAGCCACACTCACGAGCTGCAGTTTGCTGACCAGTTTGCCAACCATGGCACTATAGCGTGGTGTGGTTTGCACAAAGCTGAAAGGGCAGGACCGTTGTGAGTTAAAGATCATTTTCCAGCACAAGCCTGCACCCCCCACCCCCCATGCCCCAGGCACATCTCCTACCCTTTAAGGGACCCTACGAGACTTGCAACCAGGGGAGCAACGGGCAGCAACAGCTTGTCCTGGGCCAGCTCCCGACCTGTCCCCAAGGCCCTTCTTCTCACTTCTCAGTGAGCCAGAGCCCGCCGGGCGCTCCTGTGGCTGTTTCCCTGTCAGGCTTGACCCCACATGTTTTCTAAAGCGGCACCCGGACTGGAGGTTGATGGCTGTAGCTGGGCTTTCGGGGTTTGGCTTGTGACCGCTCTGAATTTTGCGCTGTCTTTTCTGAACAATGCCAGCTGCGCCCCCCTCACCCCCCAGTGCAGTGTAAGATGGTTCTTTGTCCTCTAGACTTCCAGTCCTTGGAGGTTGGTCTTGTCCTGGAAGTAAACCTTCCCCCTGAGGTGGACACCTACCTGGCAGTGTGCAGCTTCCTGTTGCCGTGCGGTGGGAGGGGGACAGGGGATTGGGAGACAAACCTTGTGCAAGTTTGTTTTTCTCACTCCCGGTAAGGAGATGCCCGCTGTGGGCAGGGCGTGGGAGGCAGGGCTGATGGAGGGGAGCGCCTCCCAGAGGCCGTGCCTGGTGTGCTGTCCCCTCCAGCTTCACCCCTTCCTGGGTAGAAGGTTCCTTTTCACCGAATCCTGTGCTCCTTTAGGGCAAATAGTGCAAGGACGCAGCAGGCAGCCCACTCCGGCCTCTGGCTGCGGGAACCGAGCCCTCGCTCCTGCCTCCAGCGCGGCAGTCGGCGCTGGCCGTGCTGACTTAAGGAAGTCAGTGGCTGGAGAAAAGTTGTAACTTGATTGATCTGACTTCATCTATACTGAGCAGACTTTTCACACCGGGGACACATTTCAGGAATCTCCGGAACTGGGGATAACTGAATGAGAAGCCTATGTCCCCCAAATGCCTTTGTTTAATATTTAATGTATCCTTACCCACACATAGCTACTTCAAGGATAAATGGAATGAAATTTCTCTGAGATTCACAAGACAAAAAGTAAGGCTTTTATATTGCCCAAATCACCATTTCATTTGAAAAAGGCTCCTCCCTCCCCCCTCCGTTTTCATCCAGGGAAACAGCATACTCCTTGTTTTGAGGGATGTCGCTGGTAAACAGGGGCAGCGGGCAGGTCAAAGCCCCCCCCCCCCCCCACACACACACACACACTGATCTGTGTCCCACCACACACACACTGATCTGTGTCCCATGCTAGGTTTTTTTTTTTTTTTTTTTTTTTTAAATTTATTTTTTATTGATTTTGTACAGAGAGGAAGGGGGAGAGATAGAGAGTTAGAAACATCGATGAGAGTCATCAATTAGTTGTCTCTTGCACACCCCCTGCTGGGGATATGCCCGCAGCCAAGGTACATGCCCTTGACCGGAATTGAACCCGGGACCTTTCAGTCCCCAAGCCGATGCTCTATCCATTGAGCCAAACCGGTCTCGGCGCCATGCTAGGTTTTGTCAGAAGAGGTTCTGTGCTTTAAACAAGTTTGCAAACCAGCTATGGACCTCTGTCAATGGCTCGGGCTGGGAGCTGAGAGGAAAGGGGGGGGGGCGGGTGTGGAAATCAGAGGGAGATGTGGGAGTATTTCATTAAAAACATCTCCTCGGTACTCCTGACTCTGCCACCCCACCCCCACCACTCATCTAAACGTCGCACTTGTTCAGGAGACCATGAGCGACCTGCTTGGAGGTCCGGAGCCGACGACAGGAAGGGCCCTGAAGGTCACAGTAAAGAGCATCTGAAGGGACTGCGTGCTCCGCTGTTCACCAGCGTCCCAGCCTGCTTCCTAGCACTTTGAAAAGTGTGTTCCCGGTGTGAAAAGTCTGCTCAGTATGGATAAGTCAGATCAATCAAGTTACAACTTTTCTCCAGCCACTGACTTCCTTAAGTCAGCACGGCCAGTGCCGACTGCCGCGCTGGAGGCAGGAGCGAGGGCTCGGTTCCCGCAGCTAGAGGCCGCGCCCCGAGCTGCTGGGCCCGGGCAGTTAGGATGGCCTCCGGGCAGTTGGAAGGGAGTCTGCCAGAGACTGGGCAGGGTTGGTTAGGTCTGCAGCCAGCCACCCCCCTGCCGGGTGAGTGCCAGTGCACGGGGCTGTGGAAATGGCGATGGGCTCGCAGCGGGTGCTGTCTGCCTGGCAGGTGGTGGAGAAGACGAACCCGACAGAGCCGGTGGGCGTGGTGTGCCGCGTGGACGGGGTGTACCAGGTGGTGGAGTACAGCGAGATCTCCCTGGCCACGGCACAGCGGCGGAGCCCGGACGGACGGCTGCTGTTCAACGCGGGGAACATCGCCAACCATTTCTTCACCGTGCCCTTCCTGAGGGACATTGTCAAGTACGCAGGGTGGGCGTTGGGATGTTGGTTGTGTGAGAAGTCGGGAGATAACCCCAAGTCCAGTCCTGTAGAACTCGTCCACTTCCTGGGTCACCTCTGCCCAGGAAACGTCCCTGGCTCTGGCGGTCAGTGAGCTGGCCATAGGACCCCCTCCCGGGGCGTAAGCTGAGGGCACAGTCGCCCCTTTTCTTCTCTTCCCTCGTGCCAGCGTGCTAGGCCTAGTGAAGCGCAGGACAGACACGTCTCTCCCACAGCCGGGCACTTTGGAGACACATTTGTCCCGCAGCTGCTAAGCCAGTATCCGGGACGTGCAGCGGGGGTGCCAGTCACGGGAGCTGGTACCTTAGAGAGCGAGGGCAGCCGGGCTGGGCGGAGCGTCTGCCTGCCTGCAGGTTGTAGAGCGAAGGGCACAGGTGGCTGCACCGTCAGCCTGGCCCTCACATCCACTCAGTGCCCAGCGACTCCCAGGCTTTGGCTGTTGTGGCCTCGCTCCTGCCTCACTGACTGTTGGTGCTCCACGTCCCCACTTGGCGGCCCCAGGGGAGAGCTGGGCATGGAGGAGAACGCTTGTGAACGGTGGGGCCCGGGGAGGCCCTGGTGTGACGGGGTGGTGTGTGAGGTGCGCTTTGGCGAGGGGCCTCGCGTGTCTCCCCTCACAGTGACCTGTCCCTCCTGCCCAGTGTTCACGAGCCCCAGCTGCAGCACCACGTGGCTCAGAAGAAGATTCCGTACGTGGACTCCCAGGGGCAGCTCATCGAGCCCGACAAGCCAAACGGGATAAAGATGGAAAAGTTCGTCTTCGACATCTTCCAGTTTGCCAAGTAGGTTTGACACAGCCAGCAGGAGGCGCCGAGTGTCTTCGAACCTGCCTTCCCCTCCAGGCAGGACGCTGCCTCTGCGCACTGACGCCAGTGCCGGGCATGTGACGGCGTCAGAACCCCGTCCACGAGTGTGTCGAGTTGCCCGGAGGCTGTTCCTTATGTCGGCAGGCTGGCTCTCCTGCTCTGGCTCCGTGGCTGCCAGGCCCGCTAGAGAACTGGCCTGGGTTCCGGCATCTCCTGCCTGGGAGCAGGTGGCACAGCCAGTGTTCTTAGACCCCGTAGCTCGCCCGGCGGGCTCCGAACTGACCAGTGAGACTACGCAGGAGACACATTAGCTAAGAGCTGTCCCACCAAGTCCATTCCTAAGTCATCCTTTCCTCCCCCAGCACAGACACTAATGGGTCTTTGTGCACCAAGGTTTCTAGTCCCTGTGACAGTTATTTCTGGGAGCCTTTGTGTGGGCGCATGGAGACCTGCAGGGAGTGAGGCTGGGCCCGGGGCCGGCGGGGCAGCTTTACTGGGTAGCAGCTTCTCCTTTCGCTCCCCCGCAGGAAGTTCGTGGTGTACGAGGTGCTGCGGGAGGACGAGTTCTCCCCGCTGAAGAACGCAGACAGTCAGAACGGCAAGGACAACCCCACCACGGCCCGGCACGCACTCATGTCCCTGCACCACTGCTGGGTGCTCAACGCCGGCGGCCACTTCATCGACGAGAATGGCTGCCGCCTGCCCGCCATTCCCCGGTGAGTGTGCTCTGCCTCGCTCCCGGCCGCCTCCTCTTTCTGCTGCTCTGCATCTTTCCACAAGGCTGAGATCCTTGTCTGGTGTGCGGGCATGCCTGCTCCCCCACGGAGATGGCAGAAGCCCTCGTGTTCACACGTCTCTTGCGTGAAAGGACTCCACTGAGCAGTAGTTGGAAGGTGACCCCTCTGGTGTGCCTCTGGGCCTGGCTGTCAGCAGCAGCTGTACCACAGGTTACTGCCCACACATCTGGGGGATCCCCAAAACTCCCGCCACCCCCACTCCTATGAGACACAGGGCCACCTCAGGTCATCAGAGAGGCGCCAGGTCATCAGAGAGGCACCAGGAAGGGAAATGAATGGCACCAAGTCCCAAGTCCCAACCTGAGAAATGTTAGGGATTTTAGATGTTGAAACAGGAGATTGTGAAGAGCTATTCAGCTGGATACAGAGTTATTTTAGGCTAAATCTTACATTTTATGATAAATCTCCACTGGCCCCTGGAAGCCCTGTTGTCCTTGGTCTCTTGCTCACGAAGCCAGTCAGTCGCACTCCCCGCGGGCAGTGTCTGGCTGGGAGCTGCTGAGCACGGGAGGCTGGGCTGGCTGTCACCAAAGGGCCGCCCCGGGCGTCTCCTCAGCGAGCCTGTGGGCGGGTCAGCTGTCCTGCTTTGTCCCTGCCCTTGAGTTTGTTTTTCAGCCCTCCTTTGTTCATCCTTTACCATCCACCCTGCCTCCAGGACTGCAGAGTCTGCAGTTCCCTCCCTGTTGTGTTTGGTTTGCTCGCCCAGTAATGCTTCTTTATTCTCACCCAGCACCGCTGCGCACGGACAGCCCGAGGCCGTCACAGCCGGGGTCGTGGACAAGTAACTATCCCGCCTCCTGCAGCATGCGGTCGGTGGCTGCGCTTCTCCCTGAGCTAGTGTAGTGCTGCCGCGGGCGGGGGCGGGCTGCCGTGGGCGCTGCTTCCTTGGTGGCAGGCATCGGTCTGGACACTAACTCAGCGCAGTGCATGCAGGGCACGGGCAGCATGCCGTACTAAGACCCTACAGGCGTTTGAGCCGCAGTGAGCATTGGCAAGTGAAGGTAAGGCCAGCGCAGGTGCCCGGCTGGGAGCACTGGCACAGCGACACCTAGTCTGCTGTGGGTGTGTCTCCGGGGCTGGTCATGCTTGGGGCCCCGAGGGGCAGACACTGTTCTGTGATTGGTTCTCATGCCGATAGTTCCCATTTCGGTCTCTGGGTTCATGCCAGTCACTAGCTGTCCTGCTCCTAAGAAAGTGTCTTCTAAGAACAATTCATTTTTGGCTGGAGGACCCATGTCCTCTCCCCCTGGGTGCTGGCAGCGTCTGGAAAACCAGGGTCTGTGTAGCTAGAGAGAGGGGCACATGCTTGTTGCACCCCAGCGGGGGCAGGCCTGGTTTGGAGGGTAGGTTGTTGAGATCCTTGGGACTGTGCCGGGCAGGGTCTGGGGCCTCGTCGCCTGCCTTGTCCCCTGCCCTTCGCCTCGCCCTGCGGAGGCTGGCAGGGCTGTCGGGCCTGGGACGTGGCTGTGCCAAGGAAGCGGTCGCCCAGAGCCAGCTCCTGTCTCCTAGGAGCCCCAGTCGACCGTCCTCGCACCAGGGGGGCGGGGTACAGCGTCTGGAAGCAGCTGCCTTTGTGATTTAAAGAAATAGATTTCCGGCCCTAAATTTCCTTCTCATTGAACCACACAGCTCTGAACCCGAGAAGTGAGCGTTTCTTAATTGTACGGCTGCAAGCACCCTCTAGCTCGCAGCTAAGATACAAAGTTTTAAAGTCCTCCCTGCTCAGGTGCTTTGTGCAGGCACTTTGCTCCCCGTTCCCTTTAGTTCTCTGCGGTACAGAGGGAGGTCATGCTCAGCCAGCTGTGTGTTCCTCCGGTTCAAAACCAAGTCCCTTGGCCTGAGGTTCAGGTTCAGGTGGAACTTCACTTTCCCGTTTGGCGTATGTGACCCTGAGCTGCCCAGGGGTCTGTGCCAGATCTCTGGGGCTCTTGAGATGGAACCTGACCCAGGTCTGCAGAGCCACCTTTAAAGCATCTTTCCTCCCATCAGCCCGAGAGCCACGCCCACTCAGGCTCTTGCGGAGAGCAAGCGTTGCCTGCAGCCCCTGGAGAGTCCCATGCGTGTGGGTCTTCACCTTCACCTGAGGATGTGCTTGCTGACTTGAGGGGAGGGAGAAACCTCCATGTGAGAGAAGCATCGGCTGGCTGCCTTCTTTTTATACGGTCCGGGGTTGAACCCCAGCCTAGCTATGCGCCAGAGCAGGGATCCCGCTGGCTGAGCGGCAGCGCAGGGCCGCAGTGATGCCGAGAAGCATGGTTTTGCTGAGTAAACGAAGGAGGGCGGGCGCTGTGGAGTAGAATCAGGGGAAGATGGGCTAGAGCTGATCAAGAGGCTGGGTGGTGAGCTGTCACAGGGAGCTGGTGGGAGTGACCTGAATGACTCAGAGTGGCTGGTCTGAGTGGCGTGGCAGATGGGGGTCCTGGGAGAGAACATGAGCATGAGTACCTTGAATTTAGCTGCCAGCTCTGCTGGAGGAAGACCAGGCATGGCCCACTGGGCTTGGCACTGGGCGGGGCTGTTATTTGGGCCACATGTGAGCACAGGGCAGAGAGGGGTCTGTGTGAGCACAGGGCGGAGAGGGGTCTGTGTGAGCACAGGGAGGAGGGGTTTGTGTGAGCACAGGGAGGAGAGGGGTCTGTGTGAGCACAGGGTGGGACGGAGAGGGGTCTGTGTGAGCACAGGGCGGAGAGGGGTCTGTGTGAGCACAGGGAGGAGAGGGGTCTGTGTGAGCACAGGGAGGAGAGGGGTCTGTGTGAGCACAGGGCGGGACGGAGAGGGGTCTGTGTGAGCACAGGGAGGAGAGGGGTCTGTGTGAGCACAGGGCGGGACGGAGAGGGGTCTGTGTGAGCACAAGGAGGAGAGGGGTCTGTGTGGGCACAGGGAGGAGAGGGGTCTGTGTGAGCACAGGGAGGAGAGGGGTCTGTGTGGGCACAGGGAGGAGAGGGGTCTGTGTGAGCACAGGGAGGAGAGGGGTCTGTGTGAGCACAGGGAGGAGAGGGGTCTGTGTGAGCACAGGGCGGGACGGAGAGGGGTCTGTGTGAGCACAGGGAGGAGAGGGGTCTGTGTGAGCACAGGGTGGGACGGAGAGGGGTCTGTGTGAGCACAGGGCGGAGAGGGGTCTGTGTGAGCACAGGGAGGAGAGGGGTCTGTGTGAGCACAGGGTGGAGAGGGGTCTGTGTGAGCACAGGATGGAGAGGGGTCTGTGTGAGCACAGGATGGAGAGGGGTCTGTGTGAGCACAGGGAGGAGAGGGGTCTGTGTGAGCACAGGGTGAGACGGAGAGGGGTCTGTGTGAGCACAGGGAGGAGAGGGGTCTGTGTGAGCACAGGGAGGAGAGGGGTCTGTGTGAGCACAGGGTGGGACGGAGAGGGGTCTGTGTGAGCACAGGGAGGAGAGGGGTCTGTGTGAGCACAGGATGGAGAGGGGTCTGTGTGAGCACAGGGTGGGACGGAGAGGGGTCTGTGTGAGCACAGGGCGGAGAGGGGTCTGTGTGAGCACAGGGTGGGACGGAGAGGGGTCTGTGTGAGCACAGGGCGGAGAGGGGTCTGTGTGAGCACAGGGTGAGACGGAGAGGGGTCTGTGTGAGCACAGGGTGGAGAGGGGTCTGTGTGAGCACAGGGAGGAGAGGGGTCTGTGTGAGCACAGGGCGGAGAGGGGTCTGTGTGAGCACAGGGAGGAGAGGGGTCTGTGTGAGCACAGGGTGGGACGGAGAGGGGTCTGTGTGAGCACAGGGAGGAGAGGGGTCTGTGTGAGCACAGGGTGGGACAGAGAGGGGTCTGTGAGCTCAGGGCAGAGAGGGGTGTCCAGGGGCAGGAGGCAGGCTTCCATGCACCTTGTTTTCTGCTGCAAAGCTCTTGAAACGGCAAAAACTCGGAGGTGTTATGGCTGGCTCTGTGCCGGGTGATGGAGACACGCAGGCTTGCGGGTGCTGTCAGTGCTGAGCGTGGCCTGGAGGCGGCGTGGTGATGGGCCTGCTGTCGCAGCCATGCGTGGCTATGGGCACTTGGAACTCGGTCATTGTGATGTGAATTGAATTTTAAGATTAAGATTCAGTTTTACAGTTTCCAGGAGTTCAAGTGTGAGTGCTCACCTGACGAGTGGCTGCCGTTCGGTTGCATTGTGAGCGTCTTTGTCACACGTGGTGCCTCGCTCTCTGGGGACGGTGAGGAGTAAAGTGAAGTGTGAAAGATTGAAGTACCTGGCGACATACCCGGAACATGTCTGTTTAGTCCGTTGTCTCTTCTTTGTCTGTTAAGACTTGGAAGTGTGAACAGTGAGGTCTCCGGGAGGCGCGCGCCCGGGGCGTCTGCTGACCCTGACCGTGTCCGAACCTCCTCCTCTGGGCGCTTGGTGGTCGTGGGGCTGTAACAGCAGAACTGTCCTCACAAGCTTCTCAGAGGAAGGCTCTCTGTCCTTTCCCCCTGCCTGGCGATTCGGGGACAGTCTGACACACGTGGTCTCTCCCCAGCTTGAAGGATGCCAGCGACAACCCGATCCAGTGTGAAGTCTCCCCGCTCAGCTCCTACGCCGGAGAGGTGAGTACGGCCTTCCTGCTCCTTTAAGGTGGAGTCTGCTCTGGGTCCCGTTTCCATGGAGCTGCCCTCCCAGGACGGAGCGGTCCTGGCAGAGTTGCTGTTGCTCTTGCCCTTTCCCCACGATCCACGAGGCTGGTTCCCATGAAGACTCTGGCCCTGAGACTCAGCGGGCTTTTCCAAACATGGCAGCCTTGTTGTGTGGATGGCCCCATGGCCCCTCTTCCTTCACTTATTTTTTATTAGTCCCCGCTTGAGGATGCTTTTCCCATTGCCCTTCAGAGAGAATGGTAGGAAGAGAGGGAGAAAGAGAGAAAAACATCCATGTGAGAGAGACACATCCACTCATTGTCTGCCACTCGTATCCCCACGGGCTTGTTTGAACCTGCAACCCAAGTACATGCCCAGGACTGGGAATTGAATCTTAGGCTGATGCTCCAACCACTGAGCCACAGGGAGGGTCTGTTTTGTTCACAAACCTAGTACTCTTGCTTTGAGAACCAGGGAGCTTCTAATAGGTGAGAGACCCCATGAGAGACAGCCACCCTGCCCCCATGCTTAGCAAGTGACCCGCACTGGGGACGATTAAAGGAAGAATGAGTGTCATCTTACTGACTTTAGAAATGCCGTTATAATCAGAATGACGTTACTGTGTGTTGTCTGTTTCATGCTGGTATAAGTGGTCATTAAGCTCAGTTTTAAGTGTGAACCAGATAGTCTGAGAAGATAAGTGTCACACGATCTCGCCTTCATGTGGATCAAATGAACCAGATAAACTGATGAACAGGTTAACAGAGATGGACAACTGTGGGACCTGAGAGGGAAGGCAGGAGAGGGTGGGCGGGATGAGACCAGCCAAAGACCTTGTGCGCATACGCATAACCCGTGGACACAGACAATAGGGTGGTGAAGGTGGCGTGGGGGCAGGAGCGGACGGAAGAGGTAAATAGGGGACAAAGGAGGACCTGTGTAATACTTCCAACAGTAAAGATTAAAAAAGATAATAAAATGTAAAAAACAAAAAACAACCGTCAATTCTCCACCGTCAGCTGCAGAGGTTTAAAGGGATTCGATGCCAACAAATTGCCAGGTCACTCAAAGTCCCACCGGCTCCCTTTTAGACAGCCTGGAAGTGCTGAAGGTCAGTGAGCACCAGGCTTCATTCAGGAACGGGTAAATGCCAGGCTGGTGTTCCTGGGGAGCCAGGAATGGTGGTAATTCTAAAGAGCCCCTGACTGCTTTATGTTTGACTTTAATCAGGCTCCTAATCCTCTGACCTCGTGCTGACTTTTTCTTACTAAGTTTTGGGTTTTATTTTGAATTTGCTCATGGCATAAGACTGAACTACAGGCACACAGACCACCATATAAACCAGTATTGTAATAAGGAAAAAGGTGTGCACCCGATCGGTTCTCCCTGACTCCCTCTGCATCTGGCCCGGCTCCTGTCCTCACTCCCTGAGGCGTGGCCACAGCCTGGCTGCCTGTAGCCGCTGTCGCTGTTTCCTAACCTGCTGTGTCTCCCCTCCGTCAGGGACTGGAGAGCCTCGTGGCCAACAGGGAGTTCCACGCGCCTCTGATCATCGACGAGCACGGGGCCCACGAGCTGGTGAAGAACGGGCTGTGAGCCGGCGCTGCCTGCGCCACGAGAGCAGCGTCTCCGGGTGACAGGCCCTCAGAGCTGTGGGCTGGATTCAGGCGGTTTCACGACTCCCGGCTCGCTGGCGTCTTATTTATGTCTTCCAGTTTGTAGGTGTCCCCAGCCAGGACCGTGCCTCCAGCCCTCCGGCCGCTGTGGCCTCGCAGGGTGCGCGGCTCGGTCCTGGCCGGCCTGGCCCCTCGCAGTGGACAGAGAGAATGTGCATTGTCCATGCGAAGGGTTCTATGGTACTGAAGGTTGGTTTTACTTTGTCAAAAAGTAAACCTTTTAAAGAAAATGATGGGATAGGAAATAAACTTTTAGTCTCTGAACCTTGAGGAATTCATTCCGTTGGGAAAAGAGGGAACTTGGGATGATGCAGACCACAGGCTGCCGCCGTGGGAAATGGCAGACACGACGTCCTACCCAGCGCCGGGCTCTGGTCAGTTCTCGCAGGGACCGGTCCGCAGGCGCATGGCTGGTCTGGGCACACGTGCGTGGGCACCGTGGGGGCGGAGTGCGGGGCTGGCCCTGGCGAGTCCTGTCAGCCGGGACCTCGTTCACCCCAGGGCCCTGCTTGCCCGAGGGCTTGCAGCACGTCTCCCTGGGCAGGTTAAACACTGTGTCCTTCAGAAATGAGGCCACTAAAACATGGACCATGGATTTGTGTCTAAAGGAAGATTTGCATGGAAGTACTGAGCTTTATAAATACAAAGCATTTATTGACCACACGCATAAAATCAGTGTCTGGATAAATGGAAATGCCTACAGTCTGTCTAGGAAGCGATGAATGCGTTTCCTCTCCCCTGACAGGTGTGGGGGTTGGGGTGGGAGGCCTGGGAGGCCCTGGGTATGGAGGAGGAGGTCTCAGGCCTGGTTCTAACACGTGATACTAGTGTCTAAGCTCATTTCTGTGGAAAGGCCTAGATCATGTGTTTAGCATATATCCTGTTTTATCTCATCAGCAGCCCGATTTTGCTCTTTTCCATCCCATTTCTCAAAAAGATTTGTGAGGTTTGCGATCTCGGTCAGAGTGAGCTCCTGGCGGGAGGACTGACCCGCCCCTCTGCCAGGGGTTCCCCCGCACTGGGTCGCACCGATGACGGGTGTGATGGCAAGGACCGGGGTGGGGCTGGGTGCGAGTGCTCGTAGTCTGTTCCTGCACAAGCCCTAGTCAGAAAACAATCGGGGGACACTTGTGAAAATGGGAGTTAGAGGCCTTGGCAGCTGAGTGGGATTAAAATCCAAGTGTCCGACTGCAGGCCCTGCCCTCGAGGCTGTGCCGCCCTGCGATGCCTTCTCAACCAGAGCCTTCTCTCCCGGAGCGCTCTGGGCACCGGGCGCCAGCCGCAGCTACAAAGGAGTAAAGGCACCAGACAGCGAGGCCTTCCGAAGCCGCGGGCGGAGGACGGAGAGACCCGGGGCAGGGCAGGCCACGGGAAAGGCGGGTGCTCGGAGGTGGGCCAGGAAGAAGCGGCACCAGCACCAGGGGAGGCCAGAGGTCCTGACGAGATGCTATTGCCAGGGCCATGCCAGGGTGGTGTGAAGGGCAGCTGACCGCCACGCAGCAGCAGCCGCCATCACTGCCTATTTACAAGCAGAGCATGTGTGCGCGTGCATACCGTATTTCCCCGAAAATAAAACATCCTCTGAAAATAAGACTTACAGGTTTCCTTCTGAGTGAAATATAAGGCATCCCCCCAAAAATAAGGCCCCCCCCCAGGCTCTGTCTCAGAATGAAAATTAATTTACCGTAAACTGGTCGCTGACAGTTGCATTGCAAATGCACTGCAAGCAGGTTACCTTGACAAGAAGTACTCATCTATAAGACAGTGCTATTGCTAAACATGAGAGATTTGGTCCACTGATTCTGAAAGAAATGGAGTCACAAGAAATTCACCAGGAAATTTAGGAATTGGATTGTTAGGATGATGTTCCAGAAGATGATGACATGATTGTCATTGAATAAATGAGTAAATTCTTGATACTGTAGGATTCACAGTTTGTCTGATTTGTGTTGACAACTATTGTACTATCGTACCTTATCAGGTAATAAATTTCCTTATTTTCATTTAACAATAAATGTGTACCGTATTCTTCTTCATGGAAAACTAAGACATCCCCTGAAAATAAGACCTAGCGCATCTTTGGGAGCAAAAATTAACATAAGACACTGTCTTATTTTCAGGGAAACGGGGTGTGTGTGTGTGCGCGCACATGAGTGTGCATGTGGCTGCAGGGACTAGCCAAGCAGTTCTGGGAATTACTAATCCACGTCTGAGACCAGAGCTGGGCTGTCTTCAGACGCGTGGCTGTGCAGTGGGAACGTTTTCTCCCCCTGCCCCTCACTGCAGGCTGCACACGTGTCCCCTGCTCGGAAGGGACGCCGAGGCCTGTGCACGTGGCCAGGAGAAAAAGGCCAGAGCTGGGGGTTGTGGGCCAGGGGCTGCGCTGAATGCTTCCGGGAGTGAGAAGAACACCCACCCACGGTGTGCACCTTGGGGTGCAGGTGGAGTGGGAAATGCACCCACAGGCAGCGGGTGTCAGGCTGCTTCGCTCGTGGACCTTGTCTCAGCCAGAGGTGAGACGTCCAGTGGCGACCACACGGGAGGCCCAGCGTGTTCCTGCAATCAACGTTTGTTAGGAAGGCGACGTCTGCCCCCGGGGGCATGGCCTCTGCACTCACCTTCAAAGTGCTGGTCCGCTGGCTGCTCGGGCCCCGGGGGTGGTGGCCACGGCCCCTGCGTGTCCTCCTTGGGCAGCCCTGGCCTGTGGGGGCTGCAGGGACAAGCCTTGCGGGGACAGGAGCCCTGTCGCAGTGCCCAGCCGATCCTTCACGCACTTCCTGAGTGCGGACAGGCTGGCCTGTGAGCCAGCTGCTCCCAAGCCTGTCCCGCGGGCTCTGCCTGGTGGCCTTTGCCGCCTTCCTGGTACGTTGAGTCTGGGCAGTAAGGGTGGCAGTTGCCAATGCTCAGGCACTAGGAGAAAGCTCCACCTAGAGGCTCGAGAATGCTGCGGTCTGTGCGTACCCAGACCCACGTCCCATTCCAGGCCAACACTTGCATCTCCCCCGCTCCCTGCTCAGCAGGCACAGACTGCTGTCAGCACTCGTATCCCGGAAGGACAAACAGGTCACGTGGTCTAAGCATTTTGCATATGAGACAACCAAGGGCCAAAGAGAAGTGACCTCTCCAAGTCCTGTGGCTAGTGACGAAGTTCAGACTAGAGTCGAGGTCAGCCAGACTTGGAATTGAGGGCTCTCAGTTCACTGAGAGTAATTAAAGCTTGAAGTGTGGATACAGTGGTAGGAACTGTAGAGGAAGATGAGGAAGGGAAGGTTAGCATGTGCCCAGATCCAAATTGTAGAAATTAGTAAAGTTTTCTTATTTTATACCAGTGCCCTGGTGCATGGATTTGTGCACATTGAAAGGAAATTAATTAGAAGGTGGTCAGCGGGGCTGGGTGAGATGAATTGGACACGCCCTGGAGCCAACCTCCCGCAGTCTCTCCCGAGCCGTCTGCACCTGGGGTGGTGCTGTGGCTCAAAGGCCGTCTGTAGAGTAAGCGGGGTCCTTCCAGCAGGGCAAGTGGGGTCCTCGGCATGGCCTGCAGCAGTCAGGCCAAAACAGGCTCTCTGACATCCCCCGAAGGGTCCTGGCGTGCGAGAGGGCACCCTGCAAAGCTGCTGTGGTACAGGGTGTGGAATGCAAACGCAAGTGAGCAGTAAACCAGATTTGAGGCCGACAGCGCCCCAGCAACAATATAACCCACAACCCTGTGAGGAATCGGGCTCCTTCCTCTCTGGTTTTGGGGGGTGTCAGCTGAGAACCACTGCTGCCAAGTCATTGCAGCTCGGCAGCTCCTGAGTTGAGCGTCTGCCCCCTGGTGGTCAGTGTGTGTCATAGTGACCGGTCGGACAGGTGGAGGGACACTTAGTATATTAGCCTCTCTGTCTCTCTCTCTCTCTCTCTCTCTCTCTCTCTCTCTCTCTCTATATATATATATATATATATATATATATATATATGCTCTCCCTACTCCTCCCTCTAACAAAAGTCCTTTGTTTCATTTGTACCCAGAATGTCAGAACGTGGCTAAGCCCTTACAGCACGCAGAGGAGGAGACCTAGAGCCCCATCCCTGCTGCCATTAAAAAACGCTGAAACCGGTGTGGCTCAGTGGATAGAGCATTGGCCTGCGGACTCAAGGGTCCTGGGTTCGATTCCAGTCAAGGACATGTACCTTGGTTGTGGGCACATTCCCAATGGGGGGTGTGCAGGAGGCAGCTAATTGATGTTTCTCTCTCATGGATGTTTCTAACTCTCTTTCCCTCTCCCTTCCTCTCTGTAAAAAAAAAATCAATAAAATATATATATTAAAAAAAACAAAAATGCATGGGGACATTTTCTTTCTTTTCCCTCTCAGAAGGTTTATATGGAAAATTCTTTTTAACTCTGGAGTGGAGCTTTCCTAATATTTACAAATCAACCCTGAACCCAAAGCATAATGAAAATATCAATTTTCAGTTGGCAGGCCAAAAAGTAGTTCTATTTTAGACATTCTTATTTTTTCCAAGTGCAACTGAGATTATGATAGTTTTACATTTCTATAATCGACTTCTTTTTTACATAGAGTCTGTTTAGAGCCTCAAACTCAGCACACCAATTTTATTTTCATTGGGTTCTTTTCTCTGAAAACTACAAATTACGTTGCTTTATGTTATTTCCCAAACCTGCTTCCTTTCTTTTCTCCATCCCTGGTTTTCAAGTGATGGCTCCATGTGGAGACCAGGCAGTAGCTGGTGCTGTGGTGCTGGTTGAAGTCCATATGTCTAACCAGCTGTTTAACCAGGAGCACAGTCCCACCTGGTGGTAACCAGACCTCGGTGTATCTGCAAATAATGTGTCTCCCTCTCCCCGAGAGACCTCCTCATCTGGCTACACATGTACAGCGAGACTCTCGGGACCTCGCGACAAGCAGGACACACCCACATGACATCATTTAACATTGAAAGTGAAAAACTGGACATCTTACCGATATCCTATTTTTGTCATTCCATAAGATGATTTTTGTGTGGTTGCCTTTTCTACTTTTTCCATTTTCTTTGAGACATTACTTTCAAATGTACATTTTAGGGATATGGTTATGTAATATTGTGTTTCAGATTTGGAGGCTTTGTGGGTTGTTTCTAGAGACCCTGTCTTTTCAACCAACTTCAAAATAGAAATTAAAATGCTGAGGACCCAGATGAAGAGCTGGGAGCCAGGCCGATGCAGTTGGCCCTCAGCAGCCTTAGCCTGTAACACGCTCTGGGTGTTCTGTAAACTGCTCCTCGCCTTCATCAGCATCCTCTGGGAGATGCTTAGGGGCGGACACCCGGCCTCCCGTCTGCCTTGTGATGAACCCGAGCGGCCAGGGCCACGTCAGGACTCCTTCCGGCTCCAGTCTCCTCGCCTGCAGAGGGCAGTGGGGTGTGTGTGTGTGTGTGTGTGTGTGTGTGTGTGTGTGCTTCGCGTCCTGTGCTGAGACTTCGGACTGGTGGTGTGGGGCACTGGGCGGTGAGTGTGGCGGCTCGGGGCCTCCGGTCCCAGGCACCCGCGCTCATGGGGGAGCAGTTGTCCTTGCTCTGTCCTCCGGGCCCAGCACGGAAGCTGGCCTGGGGGGGGTGGCCCGGGCCTGCGCCCCGGAGCGCGGTGTGGCACGGACTCAGCTGGCCTTTGTCCTGCGCGGAGGGTGTGCTGGCCCCAGGCTGCAGCCATACGGGGGGAAGGACTGTGGCGTAGACATTCCCTCCTGCTGTGGTGTGTGCTGTGCTGGAGCCGAGAGCTGGTGTTTGCAGGGCAGCTCGGCCGTGCAGAGAGTCGAGTGGCGGCCAGGGAGCGAACCCTGCCTCCGGAGCCATCTGCCTGTCTGTGTCTGGCCTCCCGCTGGGTCCAGGGACAGCGGCCTGTTTCTGAGGAGCATTAGGGCTCTCCTTAGGGGAGTGCCTCCTCGCTCCCATTCCTCTGATGAAGAGTCTCCCGCTCCGGGCGCTCTGAAGGACGGTCCCTCCAATGGTCTGCCCACTCCTGGGCGTCCCAGCCTGGCTGGTCGCTGGCTGAGCCATCACCCCAGGGCTTGCCAAGTTGGACGGAGAGACCGAGGTCTGGGAGCCTGGAGGAAGGCAGTGTCTCTGGAGCTGTCTCTGAGGTGCCTTAGGTCCTCTGACCTGCTGCTGCCCCCACCCTGCCCCCACCGTCTCCGGGGCCTGCGCCCTGGGCCTGCGCCCTGGGCCCTGCGTGTGGGCATCTGGGCTGGAAGGGTTGAGGCACCAACAGGGGTGGACGGAGAGGATGGCTATTTGTCATTTAGGAGCCGAGGGAGGCTCCTTGCTGCAGCCCTCCCCTTCCTCGTGACCTCTGGCCACGGCCCAGACTGAGAAACGATGGGGTGGGGTGGGGGCGGGGGTGGGGGATGCTTCCCAAATAACCTAGGAAGCCCTCTCAGCGCTGTGTTGTCGTTTAGCCGCCCGAGTGCGGGCTGCACAGCCTCGGAGCCCGGCCCCTGGGAATTGAGTGGAAAGAGGAGTCCTGGAGCCTCAGTGTTTGTGTGGGAGCCGTGGGAGGATGGATGGAGCCGGATCTCCCCGGGCGGGGGTGGGGGCGGGGAGCAACTCTGTGCTCAGCTCCGTGTGGGACCCCATGTCCGGGGGCTCCGGTGAGAGTCCCACCGTGCGCTGTGCCCGAGTTCCAGCCCAGGAGGGACAGGAAGCGGGTCACCGGGTGGGGACCAGTGCGGGGGGTAGGGGGGGGGCGGGGCGGAGAGAGCTGTGTCTTTAAGACTGTGCATGGTTACACAGACTTTTCTCTCCCGTGAATGGGTTTTGCTGTAAATTACAGCTCTGCGTGGTCCCTTGGGTCGAAAGAGCTGGTCTCCAAACAGAAACAGCTCCGATTGGTGCCCGGGCGTCCCTCCCAGCCGCTTCCTAATTGAAACCAAATGTGCGGCGTGCTGGATGCTGGGAGCCTGGCGCCGGCCCAGGAATCCTCAGAATGTGAGGCTTCTTGCGACGGCATCTTGCATCAGCCCGTGGACGCGCGCTGCCGCGGCCGCCGAGCGGGAGGCGTCCACCGCTCTCCTCCGGCCGAACCGGCCTGGGCCGCTCTGTCCGGCTGCTGCTCACCGAGCTCCTGCATGAGCGTAAGTCCTGCGTGTTCTCCTTTCCTTCGCTTTCTTTCTTTTCCGCAAACGAGCGCTCTGACTGCCCGGCGTCTCCGGAAGAGTTTACAAAGAGGCTGTGGGCTCCATCAGGTGGGGCCGGCAGCCGGGCGGCTCCGGGACCCAGGCCTCCCGCTCGGCCGGCTCCGTTGCGGGAAGAGTGGGAGCTGCGGGGAGGCCGGGAGCCGGGCCCGGGGCGCAGGCCTGGACCGGAGCCTGGCGGGCGGAGGCGCTGGGCGGGAGCGGGGCTGGCGCTGGCCTCGAGGCCCCCGTTTGGGAGGAGGCGCCTGGTGCTTTGTTTTGGGGGCACCTCGGGCGGAGGGGTGCCTCGCCCCGGGCTCTGTGTGTGGGGCCTGCGTGGACGGATGAGAAGCCGCTGCCTCCCGGTCCCGGGCCGGCCCGGCGGCTCTCCCTTTGTCCCTGGACTCGGGCTGTTTGCCTCGTTGGCTGTGGGACGCTGAGCCGCGGCTCCCGTCCTCTGGGCGGGAAGGCGCTGTCTGCGGGCGGACGCCGCCAGCCATTTCAGGCGGGAGCCCGGCGGGCGCGGGGCCTCAGCACCATTTTGCTGTCGGCCTGGCCGAGGCCTCCGGGAGGGCGCCCTCCGGGAGAGGGCCTGAGCGCTGGTGTCGCCGCCTCCCCCGCCGGGAGGAGCTGTCCGAGTGGGGCCGCCGCTCGGGCGCAGGGACAGCCCCCCGGCCAGCCCCACGGCGCTGCGGGCCGCGTTCCGCCGGCGGGGCAGGGTGCTGAGGGGCCTGGGGCCTGGCGCCTGCGCTCACGGCGCCCGGGCTCCGCTCAGAGCTCCGCGGTCGCGGCCCCAGGTGCGGCCGGAGGGGAAGCTGGAGCGGAGGGCCAGCTGCTGCGACGCCCTGGACGTGACGGCCTGTCCTGCTGCCGCCTCCCCGGCGAGCGCGCAGCACGGCAGGTGTAGGGATGAGCTGGTGTCTGCTGGGACGTGTCTGCGGGGACGTGTCTGCGGGGACGTGTCTGCGGGGACTGCTCACGCCCGCACCGGCTGGTCGCGGGAGGAGGACCAGGCCCTGCCGCGGCCGTGAGAGGGGCTGGCGCCCGGCGGGGGCTCCTGCTGGGCGCCGGGAGAGCGCTGCTCGGTGGCATCGCCGGCCGTGCTTCCCTCCACCCCTGGCGCTGCTGCTCTGAATGCTCTGCAGCGCCTGCACCCCCAGTCCCGTGGGTGGTCATGTGAGCAGCCTGGGGGTGCCGGCCCTAGGGCACGTGGGCGTGTGACTGACAGGGTGGCCTGTGTCCGTGGCCGCCTCCTTGATGGAAGCCGTCCCTGCTCACGCCCGGGTCCCAGGATTCTCTCTGAGCCTGTGGCTGGCATGGCCCTCCCCTCCTCCCTCCCGCTGTGCCCACGTCCCGTCCTGTGAGCGCCGGCACCGCCTGTGGCTTTGGGGGAATTGTTGATATTTGGCTCCAAAGAGTATGGAAACATCGATGCCCGGAGACCAGGAGCTTGACTGCCCGCTCCCGGGCCACCCTGGGCACTGCTCTCCCGGCACGGCACAGCCCGGTGCTGTGTGGGCACGGCACCCGCTTCCAGGCCCTGGGCCTGAGGTCTGGCAGGTCCACCAGCTGCTTCACCCGCGATGCCTGAGCCCGCTCAGCCCCCTGGGGCGGCAGGCGGCTGCTGGGTGCAGCTCCCGGCGGCGGCTGCTGCAGGGGCTGGTGGGCAGGTGACAGCATGGTGTCCAGACTACGCCGTTTCCCCTGCCCTGCCACCACCCACCTTCCCAAAGCAGGGGCACCCCCGGCCTCTCCCAGTCCTGGAAGTGGGTGAGAGCGGGAGCCCCAAGTGTGTGCTCACCCCTGACCCCAGCCACCCCCTTCCAGGAGCCGGCTCCTCAGGGCAGCGGGCTGCTGGGCACTGTGAGCACAAGCACCGCCCCAGGTCTGCCCTCCACAGGCCCCGCCCACTCCCCTCCAGCAGGCACCTCCTCCTCCCCCACACCTGGGCACCTCCTCACTGCCCATCCCTGCCCACTGGGCCTCCACCTTCACGGGCATCACAGGCCCCTGCGAGCTGTGTAAACAGGCGATACCAGGCTCCACCCCGACGGCAAAGAAGGACGTTTCTGCCTGGTGACGGGCACTGGATCGAGCTCCTCCCTCGGGGACTCCGGTGGCGTCCGGCCTGCAGTGGGGGCCTGGAGGGCCACGCGGTGTTTTGTTTTCTTCTCAAGAATGACTCTGGCCGGGACCGGTTTGGCTCAGTGGATAGAGCGTCGGCCTGCGGACTGAAAGGTCCCGGGTTCAATTCCGGTCAGGGGCATGTACCTTGGTTGTGGGCACATCCCCAGTTGGGGGTGTGCAGGAGGCAGCTGGTCGATGTTTCTCTCTCATCGATGTCTCTAACTCTCTGTCCCTCTCAATTCCTCTCTGTGTAAAATCAATAAAATATATTAAAAAAATAAGAAAAAAAAGAATGGCTCTGAGTGGAGAACGTGCTCTTGGGAAGGACACGCCTCTGGTCAGACCCTGGAGACACAACTCAAAGGCCCTTCGCAGACCGTCGTGCTCCGGGCCGGGGCGGGAAGCGCCGACACTGCCGGTCCTGAGCGAGGCGCCGGATAGCCAGGCGCGAAGGCCCGTGGCCCGGAAAGGAGCCGTGTGGACGTGGCGTTTCTGCTTCACGCCGTCCGGCGCAGGTGTCGGTGCCGGCGGGGCCGATGCCGGCCGGCCTCGGGCTCCTCTGCGCTCCGGCCCGGCCGCCTCCCTCCTCAGGCAGCTGCTCTCCACGTTCAAACGGCTCCTGTCGCAGGGTCTGGTCCGCGTCACGAGCCCCGGCCGTGCAGCTGGGGCTCTGGCGAGAGCTCGGCCACGGAAATGGTCCTTCTCTGAGACAACGGACACAGAACTAGTGATGTTTCAGGATCAGCCAGGCCTGGTCTCCTCTCACCCCCGCAGGCGACTGTCCCCCGTGGAGCAGGGCAGTGTCCCCGAGACCCTCCCGGCGAATCCACCCGTCACCGCTGCTCTCATAGCAGCACGAGGTGCTTTTGCCCCTCTCTGTGTCTGTCTCTCTCTCTGTCTCTCTCTCTCTCTCTCTCTCTCTCTCTGACGTGACATTCGCTCTCGCAGCAAATTGAATCCAGAGCAGCGGAGACTGTCCCAGGGCCGCCTTCTCGCTAAGTACTTCTGAAAAGACGTATTTTTAGAAAAAGTCATTATTTGTGTTAACACACAATTGTCATTTCACTGAACTCGTAAGTGACGGCCTCTCAGTCCTCAGTGTCCCCTTCCAAATCGATGACGTCATGAGCAGAGCCCTCTGGACGGCTGTGGGCCCAGGTGGGTGTGAGGTCAAAGGGGAAGAAACGGGAATGAGGCCGAGTTCGTGCTGAAGCACCGAGCCCGGCTGGCTTCAGTGGTCTAGAACGTTCCGAGGCCTGTGGCCGGGCGGAGCAGCGGCGGGAATGAGGGAGCACAGGCCAGCTTCCCTTCGGAATCCATCCTCAGAGCACTTCCTGCGCCTGCTGACGGAGGAGGCGGCCGGCGCTGTTGGCTGATGGCAGGAAGGAAGCAGGTCCCACATGGCCCTCAAGCCCCGCTGGCCTGGCTGGGACACAGGAGAGCAGGGTCCCGGGCGGGGCTGTGCCTGGCGCTCCTGTGAAATTCGGGGACGACGCCCTGAGTGCGGAACCGAGGCTGAATGCTTACTCTCCACCCCAATCAGAGGTCAGTTCTGAGGTTCCCACCCCGTGTGGCCAGGATGCCGGCTCTGGACCTGCCCGGCCCTCTGGTGCCTGGGCCCGTCTGGGTTCTGCTGACATCGCAATGCTCTTTATTTAAAATGCTACCTTCCAGCAGTAACTTCGGGGGCTGAGGGGAAATACTTAACAGAACTACCGCCAGCAGCATGACGGCCAGAGCCGGAGAAGTTCAGAGGCCTCAGTCCTAGGAACCCTGGCCCCGGCCTCTCCTGCAGACGGGATACACCCCTCTATCGCCGTGTCCTCTATAGCCGTGTCCTCTATCGCCGTGTCGCTGTGTCTCCATGTTGCCATGTTGGCAGCAGCTCAGAGGGTCAGTCTGGGTCTGGGACTGTCAGTCAGCAGGCCGAGTGTGCAGTGTGCAGTGCTGGGACTCAGTCAGCAGCCCATGTGCAGTGCTGGGCTCAGTCAGCAGCCCCATATGCAGTGCTGGGACTCAGTCAGCAGCCCATGTGCAGTGCTGGGCTCAGTCAGCAGCCCCATATGCAGTGCTGGGACTCAGTCAGCAGGCTGAGTGTGCAGTGCTGGGGCTCAGTCAGCAGCCCTGTGCAGTGCTCAGTCAGCAGCCCCGCATGCAGTGCTGGGCTCAGTCAGCAGCCCCGTGTGCAGTGCTAAGGCTCAGTCAGCAGTGCTGGTACTCAGTCAGCAATCCCATGTGCAATGCTAGGGCTCAGTCAGCAGGTCCCGCGTGCAGTGCTGGGACTCAGTCAGCAGCCCTGTGTGCAGTGCTGAGACTCAGTCAGCAGCCCCGTGTACAGGGCTAAGGCTCAGTCAGCAGCCCCGTGTGCAGTGCTGGTACTCAGCAGGCCCGCGTGCAGTCCTGGGACTCAGTCAGCAGCCCCACGTGCAGTGCTGGGACTCAGTCAGCAGCCCCACGTGCAGTGCTGGGACTCAGTCAGCAGCCCCACGTGCAGTGCTGGGACTCAGTCAGCAGCCCCGTGTGCAGTGCTGGGACCAGGCTGGTTCCGGAGTTTGGGATCTAGACCTGCACAGGAGGAAGGAGCCCTGTCCTTGGTGCCAGCAGAGAGAGGGGGCGGCCCAGATGGTCTGGTTCCTCGCAGCCTCTGCAGTTTTCAGAGCGAAGAGTCAGGAAGGTGGCTGTGAGCTCTCGGGGGAAGGCTGGGTCCCAGGGCTTTCTCCTCACTATTAAGACTCTCACGCGTTTGCCCACCCCCGTGGCTCCTTAGCCACCTTGTGGGAGGAAATTTCCAGGTGCCGTTGTCCCCACAGACTCCTTGAAAGGAATTCTTCCTT